TTTATCTAAATTTAACGGTGAGCAACCACCTTCCCATTTCTGCCTGCAGACAACGAAGTGTGGTAAAGATATGAGACGTTGTGGGTTTAAGCACCCACATTTGCTCCTTTTTTTAAAAAAACGTGTGAGGCTGGAAAAATGGAGGTTACCTCGGGTTGACGGGGTACCCCAACACAAATTGGGTACCTCAAAAAACCAAAGTCCTTTACATAATGACCCACCTTAAGGTTTGTGCCCCAGTGTTGTATGTTTGTTTCTGGCTGCGCTTTTATTCATTCATTTATTTTACTTTTTTCTTCTCCACAAAAATAAATCTAACTATATATAATATATAAATATAGAACTTCAACATATCGACTGAAAGCATTTACGCTAAAATGAGTTAAACTTTAATTTTTATAATTAATAATTTGTTTGTTTCTGTGTATATTTTTAATCAGTTTCAAGAGTAATATATAAAGTCTGAAAGTACAAAAGCCAAACTGATTATTACCTATAAAAATAACAATCGAATATACAAGTGGCCAGGTGGTTAAGGCACTCGACTCGCAATCTGAGGGTCGCGGGTTCGAATCCCCGTCACACCAAACATGCTCGCCCTTTCAGCCGTGGGGGCGTTATAATGTGACGGTTAATCCCACTATTCGTTGGTAAAAGAGTAGCCCAAGAGTTGGCGGTGGGTGGTGATGACTAGCTGCCTTCCCTCTAGTCTTACACTGCTAAATTAGGGACGGCTAGCGCAGATAGCCCTCGTGTAGCTTTGCGCGAAATTCAAAAACAAACAAACTACAAGTCAAGAATATCTGCATAATTCAGAGAGTGTGAGTGTTACAATGTATCTTGATAGGAGAGAAACCTACGAATGTAGGACTCATACAGTGGTTGGGGATACATCGCTCTCAGGCTTAACTTTTATTTGTAAGGTATCACATGTGAAATGAAATCAAGACAGAACAAATTAGGAGCAAGTATGGATGATTCAGTTCTTAACGTTTCACATAAAAATGCCATACTAATAATTTTTGATAAATGTCAATAATTATCTTTCCAACACTATTTAGTTTATCTTTTTTTTATAAATTAATTGTTATAACTTCACAGTTAATTAGTTGCTGTGGAACTTATATTATTAATACGCACATTTTAGCATAAAACTTAAAACATAATGGCTTTTGCCAATATGTGGTAAAGTTCTGGATTCAGAAGCTGGTCTGTGTGGTACAACAAAATATATTCCGTACTTTAATCTGCGGTCGTTACGAGAGTGCCTGTTAATCACCTGTCGTTGATGGTGACTGACTGTATTCCCTCTGATCAGTAGTTCAAACTTACAGACGGCGGGCGGCCTTAGTAGCGTTGCCATAAATACAGAATTCAAATTCGCCAACATAATTCATTTAAAATAGTTAACATGCTAGCCAAATTTCTAAACAACAAGACTGCGAAACCGGAAGCCCCCCCCCTCTCATGGTCCAACGTAAGTCTTAGGCTTATAACGCTAAAAATCTGGTCCCGAGACTCACATGGGCAGTGAAAAAATAGACCATAGCGTAGCTTTGTGCTTAATAGCAAAAAAGAACCAGAATAAAAACCTGTCTAATATTGTGAGATAAAATGGATTCTCTCAAAAGTTACTTCAATTATATGATTCCTGTTTTGGTTTTAATCACGTGCCAACGTAATCTTGGGTGATTAGCCATGAATTTTTGCTTAAGCTAGTTTATAATTAAGCAACTATGTTCAAAACAAACTAGTAAGGGCTAATTAGGTGATATACTACATTATTTGAATAAAGAGGGTAAATTTAATTACCTTTGCTTAATTAGGAGTGTGTATATATTAAAAATTACAGGGCTCTTAAGGAACGCACCCAACGCACGATAATAGGATTCACAACGTTATGTATCAACACAACTTGCTTCCAACATAAAAATATTACCAAGAACAAGAAGGCTTAACCGTAGTCTCACCTCTGTCACCAGTACTCAGTAACCTCTACAATGATAAGTTCGAAGATAACGGCCTCAAAGCAGTCGCTCTGGAACTGAAGTTTGATTAACATATGTTGATAATACATTTCTAATAGGGTCCCACAATACAGACAAGCATCCAGTATTCATAAATCACCTGGTTATACAAATCACACTTGAAATAGAAAAGATAACTTCCAATTCCTAGCAATAGTTACAAAACACATAACTCATATACAAGAGGAGCTTACTGGAAAAAATTAAAATTCCCAAACAATGTACAGACAAGTGTCATAGACTGCCTGAACTCCAGAATGAACAAGATTTTATATAAGGAATATCTTAAAAAGGAAGAAAACATGTCATTTCACTTTCTTTGGAAGCATATAAGCAAGAATAAAAAAAGATTGACACACAGCTTTATGATAAAGGTCTCTCTGTATGCATAGAGAGGAACAGTGTTCAAACGCCACACTTTAATACGATTACAGTAAGCATGTACTAAACCACCTAATGAACCAGTGGACACCACAAATATCAATTACAACACCCCCTTTTAATACAGACTACTATACATTGGAGAATCGAAAGCTAGAATTCAAGAGCATAATAGACGTATGACTATGTAATATTGATCTACCTCGAATAGCCATTCATTTTAGAGAAGAAAGCCATATAATAAAATGAAACAATACGAAAATCATGGGATGTGAGCCTCATACGAGAAAAGGAAAGATAAAAGAGGTCTTGTACATCCATTCAACTGATAATACATTCATTCAACCTAGCACTGAGTTCGGGCATTCAAATAGTTAGTTGATTCAGGTCCTAATGGAGAAGACTTCAGACAAATAGATACACACACAAGCTTTTCTATCAAGAAAACCGAAAGTCGAATCTCGGACATTACCATCACGGTCCTTCTCAGAACTTCCCTGGAAACGTAAGATATAAGTTAATTATTTAGTATTTAATAATAGTAAATAATTAGTAACTAATCAAAATGAAGGACGAACATGTAGCATGGAAATGGAAGTTTTGTTTACGGATAAAATAAATAATATGTTTTAAAACCTTTTTTAGTTTTCAAAAAAACACTACGTTTTGCTAGGTTTACTTAGCATCGTCAAGTGATTAAAATTACATCGCATTGTAACAACAATGTAAAAACAAATCAAATGCAAGCGTTAAACATGGGGAAAATTAAAATAAATATAATTTTACAATTGAATGCTGGATGACTCTAGGAGAGATTCTTTGGTTTGTCTTCTATTTCTATTATTTTATCTGCCTATGTTTCTTACTTCCGAAAAAACAAAAGAGTGTTTATTTTGTTCAAACACAAGAGAATGAGCTTTTAAATGTTCTCGTAATCTTGTAGATATTTGTCAAGCGGTTTCTCCAACGTAACTCTTTACATGTAATATGACACAAGGATCCTGAAGTGCCCTTGTCAACAAATTTGTGCGATACAATTTGGCCTAGTTTTCTTGCTGGTATAAGAAAAATTTCATACCGAAATCCATAATGTATTATTTAGTTGTTTTTTAACCTTTTTATTGGATGGCACGTAAGAGCTTAGGGATATATAGCATAACACAATAAAAAAATAATTGTTTGTATCTTCATGTCGTGATTCATTTTTTAGGAATGACAACGTTTTATTTATAACTATGAGAGGATATTCTGTTTACAATTTAAGTTGTGATTTCAACACATTTATCTCTGCTTAAAAAGCTTGGTGAGAGGAGCAAATATGTTTAGCTGCTTCAAAAAGAGGTTCTTAATGATTCCTATTTTTTTTGTGTAGGATTATGGAAATGATTCCAATGAATAACAACTCTCGAATGTGTGTCTTTACGAAAGACTGTGGTACAAAATCCACTTTCACTTTTTTTTCAATCACAACATTCAAAAAAGAAATTTTCTCATCGATTTCATTTTCAATTGTAAACATGATTTTAGGGTGGAAACTAAAAATGTTTTAAAAAGATACTACTTATTTTATCCGTAAAGAAAACTTTAATTAGTAATTAAAGACTAATCATGACAATGATTGATATTCAATCGCCACAATCTTACGTAATATTAAGTAAGGCCCAGCATGGACAGGCGGTTAGGACACTTGACTCGCAATCTGAGGGTCGCAGGCTCGAATCCCCGTCTCACCAAACATTCTCGCCCTTTCAATCGTGGGGACGTTGGTAAATCCCACTATTTGTTTGTAAAAAGAGCAGCCCAAGAGTTGGCAGTGAGTAGTGATGACTAGCTGCCTTCTCTCATTGGTAAATTAGGGACGGCTGGCGCATATAGCCCTCGTGTAGCTTTGCGCGAAATTAAAAAAACTTGGTACTTATTGATAAATTATTTCAGATCATGATACCGTTTATATATCTGTAATACAAGCAACCAGTAATGAAGTAAGACAAGATTCTGCTTCATACATCTACATCACAAGAAACCAGAGGTTAGTCAGATCATGATACCTCTTCGTACATCCAGATCACCATAACTAAGTAGTAAGTCAGATCATCTTTGATAGGTTGTTTAGGCAGAGTATTCATAATGCCTTTCGAAACGTCGTCCTCTACATTTGTAGGTTTCTACAACAGGCAGTTGCTGTCCGTTGGAAACTTAGATTCAAGTCAGATCATTATGCCACTTTATACATCTAGACTATTATATATCAACAATGAGTCAGACAGTTATGTTAGTTTAGATATCTAGACCACCAGAAATCAGGAATGATTAGGCTGTCATTTTATACACCTAGACTACTTGAAACCAGTAAGAAATCAGATCTTAATGTCGCTTTTACATCTAAATTATAAGAAACAGGTAGTGAGTTAGATAGTGATGCTACTTCGTACACGTAGACACAAGATATCAGTGCTGTTTCAGATATCTATCCAATAAGAAACAGGTAGTGAGTTTGATAGTGATGCTACTTCGTACACGTAGACACAAGATATCAGTGCTGTTTCAGATATCTATCCAATAAGAAACAGGTAGTGAGTTAGATAGTGATGCTACTTCGTACACGTAGACACAAGATATCAGTGCTGTTTCAGATATCTATCCAATAAGAAATATGCAGTGAGTTAGATCGTGACGTATCTTCATTCGCTCAGCCTATTAGAAACGGTTAGTGATTCAAATTGTGATATCGTTTCATGTACCCCGACCAAAAAATACGCCACGATAAATTAGATAATGATGTCGCTTCATACACCTATACTACAGTGGGTTGAGTACGTTCTTTTAAACCTATATTGAATATCTAAATCACTAAGTTACATTATAATCACAGCCGAAATAAAGTCACTGCAAAACATCGTGTATCAGGACTATATTTTGACATTGTTTGGCGTTTCGTAGATAATGACACTGAAAGTTATTTGATATTAGGAAAAGTACGGAACAATCCTTTCGGACCCAAAATATTTATACAGTCAGATCATAACGATGTGTGTTCAGATATGAGATTTAGAAATATTTATACAGTCAGATCATAATGATGTGTTCAAATATGATATTTAGAAATATTTATACAGTCAGATCATAACAATGTGTTCAGATATGAGATTTAGAAATATTTATACAGTCAGATCATAACGATGTGTTCAGATATGAGATTTAGAAATATTCATACAGTCAGATCATAACGATGTGTTCAGATATGAGATTTAGAATTTCCAAGACTGGGATATCCCAGACATTGGACAGAAAAATATGTATCAACTTGTGGAACCAAGAACACACAGAAAGATACACGCAGTAACTGTACACAAACTGTGAGGAGCAATTTGCAGTGTTTTATAACACAAATGTCAGTGGCAAAAACCACCCACGCGGTTCAGGCAACAATGCGCAAGACAGTCAAGAAGAATCATCACCTGAAAACGACGCCAACCAAGGTATGGACTCACCAAAATAAGACTTCCAGTCGTACTTCCTGTTAACGGTTGCATATCTAATGCAGATGGAGAGCGAAACGCAGCAACATGCTATTCCATATAAAGACATACTGGTCAATTCGCTGGACGCAGCGCCTATGAATTTCTCTGCAATCGGACTGTTGAAATGAGCGGTTGGAAACCGTCGTCTTCGTACACTAGATGTATTACAGAAAACATTCAGGAAGAACTGACGAGCTGTGGACAAGAGAGCCTTGCGACGGAACCTTATGCAATATAAATTACGCTGCAGGATTTTTGTCAAGATGCATAGTCGTCAGATAGAGCATGACTGGACTAGCGACATGGACTTTAACGACGTGACGAGGCTCTAAAATCGTTTCAACGTAACGTGCTCAAACTCTATACAATAAACTAGTAGTGAGTCAGATCAGGAAGTTGCTTTAAGCTCTGAAATTCCTTAACGGTAATAGCTTCATACAGGACTGTCACTGTCATGCCAGATCTTGATACACTTTAAAGGACTAGACAGTACTGTGTAAGTATTCTTTATAATAGTGATTGATCAGAAAAAAAAGGCAAATCGGTCTAGCTGAAGCATCGTTTTTCAAGTAGTATAACAGACGTGTATGGACTGAATAGCTTTATGAAGGTAACACAGGTGTATTACTTTAAGTAAAAGATTATTCAAGTTTTCGTAAGAAATGTACTAAATAGAAATAATAATTTGATTAGCATTTGAAACTCGTAAATTTCGTCATTAAATAGTAACTGTCACTCTTTGTGGCGATTTTGGACATAAAATAGAAAGGTGAAACTTAACATTGTCTTGTAACTCATTAGAAAATACTCTCAAACTGGCTTTCCACGTAATGTTATCTTTCATCCAACAGCACCATTCTTGGCTCATATGTAAACCTTCATATTTTTTAAACATTTGGGAAACCCGTCTCGCTGTTCTTAAAATATAAAAAATAAGACAAAAAGATAATACCTATTGGGCTGATAGATCCCACGCTGTTAGCGGAGTCAGAGCCTGATAGGTAAGCCAGGGACAGTAACGGTGATACAGGTGAGAGGGAGCGTGGTCTTCCTCCATAGGTAGGAGAGGAGGGTCGTAGAGTGATATCTGGTGTTGGAGACAGTGTCACTGGGGAAGAGCAACGTTGGTGCGGGGACATGGGAGTTCGTAACTCATTTGATGCCGCTGAATGATGGCTGTCAGATCGACCTGAAATTGATAAACGTGGCACGTGCGCTGCACGTGCATCGACAGATCGAGTTCGGCTTACAACTGGCGAACGCTTCCTGACTGTAGGCAGTGAATAACTTGAATGAGATGTTGAAACTTTTTCCTCTGGGACATGCACATCTGGAAGCGACAATCGTACGTGCGTGTGATCTATGTTGTTAGAGCCCGATCCCGAACTAGACGCCATGTTTTTGGTTGTTCCAGTAGAGTGCGCTGCAGTCACAGCCGAAGCAGTTGCTATGAAGGCAGAAGCAGCATTAGAGTGTTGGGGCTGTTCTCGGAAGATGCTGAAATTCTGTAGAGACAAAAGTTTGATTATATATGTATCTATATTCATAAATAAAACTATTTCTTAAGCAATTGGAAGTCTTACATATAGAAATTAGCAGAAAAGCATTCAAAATTAAACAGGCTTCTGTTATTTGAAGAAATGTTCATAAAACTAAATAATTTCATTTATTAATAGAACAAGGAATAACGCAGCGCTTTCTAGAGACTTTATCACACCAAAAACACTATATTAAGGGCACTTCACTTAGACTTGTTTTACTCTGAACAGGGATGAAAACGATAGTCTTTATATCATGTTTTTACAAAAAAACACAATGATTAAAGTTTAAAGACATATTACACTTGAATTTATGGATAGATCCCTGCGATTGATACAGCATGGATATTCTATTGTGCAGCGTTGGGCTTCACAGCAAATAACGAATTAAAAAAATTAGGAGAAACGGTAAATGAAAAAAAAAGCCCCGGTTTTTTCGAATTTGAACAGGTTTGATACTGCAGAGAGGTATTTGCTACTAATGAAGAGAAAATTATTATGGGAGCTTATTATATATATATATTAGGTCGTCAAGAAATTCATGTCACGTTTTGGAACACTTTCATTACCCCCCCCCAAAAAAAAGTACATCATGTATAATAGTTAAACGAACTGCTTAAACGTCACGTTAGTGTAGCCTATATAATGTGTAAAGTTTAGTATACCCTAATCCCTTATAGTGATGGCACACGACGAGACACACATTCGGCATGTAATGCTGTTTGAATATCAGAAGGGAAACAACGCCTCTGTTCCCACAAAGAACATAAAAGAAGTTTATGGAAATGTTTTGAACGTTCCTAAGTGTCAACGATGGTTCAGAAAATGTCATTCAGGTGACTTTAGCCTTAAAAACTGTGATGGCAAGGGCCGACATGTTGGAATTGATATTGATGCTCTGAAGACGTTTGTTGAGTCAAACCCAAAGCAACACACTCGTGAAATGACC